TAATATAAAAAAATAAACTAACAAAGGAAAAAAGTCATATAAAAAACTAACTTGATATTTAGGCTAATATTTTTTTAAAATTAACATAAAAAATCAATAACAGAAAGTAAAATTAACAAAAGATTTTTTTAACATATATACTTTAAATGACTAATTTTTAAAACTTTTGTTTTAAACTAACTATTAAAGAAATTAATATAAAAAATAAAGCTTTAAACAAACTATTTAAGAAATTAATATAAAATTGAACAAAAACAAATAAAATATAAATGATGTTTTACAAAATGTTAATAAATTTAAAATTGGTATTCAAAACAAAAAAAAATATTAAAACAATCATCTTAAAAAATTGACTTGATATATATGGTAACTATTTAAAAATTTCAATACAAAAGAGTCTCATTAACAGAAAAAAAGAAAAGAAAATTGTCTGTAAAATGTCAACATTTACAGAAAAATTATGTTTCAAAATTAAATAAGAATCAATATAAAAAATTAAACTAACAATAGAAAAAGTCATAAAAAAACTAAGCTAATATTTAGGCTAACATTTTTTTAAAACTAACATTAAAAATTTTTAAAACAAAAGCAAAAACAAATGATGCAGTAATATTTTGAGAGAAGTCGATAGTAGATTTAAAATGAACAGCTATAGTATGTCAAATCAACATTATAACTAAAATAAAAACTAATATTAAAAAAGATAATTTTAAAAAGAAAAAGCATTTAAGTAAAATAAATTAACTTGATATCTATGCTAGCTATTTTGAGAATCAACAACCAAAAAGTTTAATCATAAAAAAAACTCCTAAGTATAACAAACATACAAAAAAAATTATATAGATTAAAATAAAATATAAATTTACTATCAAAATATGTAAAGTAAAAGATTTTTAAAGTATTGGTATCTACAATTAATAACTATATAAAGTTGCAATAAGTTTACATGATTTTTTAAATCAAACATATTCTTTAAATATACAAAAGTTAATATAGTAGGTACTTCTGACTTAAAAACTAACAAAAAATATTACATAAGTAAATTTACACTCAAAATTTAACAAGAAGTAAAATCTGATTTTTATATATATCTACTATTTATATCTGAGGCAACATTAATAACATATGAATAACACCTTCTAATTGTATTTAAATAATAAAATATGATAAAGTTAAGAATGAAACTCGAATAGATATATCTAGATAAAATATTTAAATCAAAATATGCAGAAAGCACATAGAAGGTAAAAACAGTAAAACAAATATAAAGACTGCACACCATCCATCCTACAAGTTTAAAAACTAGAATTATCAAATATTAGACTGCCAAAAAAAATTTCAATGATAACCTGAACAAATATATAAAAATAAAACTCATGGAAGACATGATGAAGAAGTAGGAAATGGCTTTGTACGATCATTGCAGTTTCTAACAAAACTAAATGTGAATCAACATAAATCATGAATTATATATATGCATAGATACACAACATCAATGAGATATTCAATCAAAAAATTAAACTTTTAATATATAAACCCTACAGAAAAAAAAGAAATGTAGAATTTCTATGGAAATTTAAAAAAAAACACCAAGATCTTAGCATAGAAACCATTCTCTAAATCAAACCTGTTTGCATGTCAAAATTGGATAATTTGATAAACGTCATTGTTATTATTTTATTTAGTAAGATTTAATTTTTTATAAACAAAAAATAGGAGAAAACTACATGTTGTGTTTTAAATTCTCTTATATAATAATTTGTTTTTTATATATCTATTATAGTTTTGATAATCATATCTATTACTAATAAAAATTGATGTTAAATGCCTCTAAGGGTGTCTACATAGGATTTAAAAGATTCAATTCTATTGATACACATCATCATTATCTATAGTTAATTATATATTATATATTAAAATTAATTAATTCATTTTTATTGTTATAAGGAAAATTTCTAAATTTTATTAATTTTGTTTTTGTTGGTATTAGGAAAGTTTCAAACTTTAAGTTAATTACTAATAATAAAGAATTTATAAAGTAGATCTTATTTTTCTATTAACAAAAAAAAATTAACATATAATTATCTTTAACAAACAAAAAAATAACTTATAAATAGATTATTAAAAAAAATCATATATATTGAACAAAATAATTAAAAACTGTATTTAAGACCATAATTAAACTATTTCAAAATTTAGATCATGACAAACAATTAAAATCTGAACTGCTAACATAAAATGTATTAGTTGTGGTCCGTGTTGATGTCTTAGACCAATGAGAGCGTTCACATATGACGTAGAAACTCAAACTGATTGGTCCACATCAGTATTTTTCATTAAACATAAAATTGTGAAATATGATTAATAATTTAAATAAATTAAGACAAGCAAAAATATGAAATTATCATAGTAGAATAAAAAATTAAGACTAAAAAGTTTAACTAACAAAACAGATCAAATAAAATTATGTCAAAAATCCAAATATATGTTTGTCAAAATAAAATGGAAACTTATTGTCACAAAAGCTAAACTAATAAAAACAAATATGTAAATCAATAACAAACAAGTTTAATTAAAAAAAGAAAAAAATTTAACATATATATTTTATATGAGTAATTAATTTAGAAAAATATGAAGATTAAATTTTTTATATAAACATATAAAATTAATATTTAAAACTATTAATACTATAAAAAAAACTATCAAAAACTTGATATTTACCCTAATTATTTAGAATATCAACACAAAAATCTGAGCTAACCAAAAACGTTTAACTAACAAAAAAACAAAAAGTAAAATTTTTTTTTTGCAACATGTCTTTCAAATGAAAATTCATATTAAAATAGTTAAATTAAGAAAAAAAAAGAAAAGAATATAAACTTGATATCTATGTATTTTTTTATTTAACAAAATAAATATAAACAAAATAAGTAAGAAAATAAAAAAAACTAAAGTAATACTAAAAGACTTTACTAACAAAAATAAAATAAATATTTAAGCTAATTATTTAAAAAATCAATATTAAAAAATTAATTAACAAAAAAAAATAAGTTTTACAAAATGTTAAATTTTGAAAAATTACCTAAAAAGAAATTGACTTGATATCTGACTAACTACTTAAGAAATTAATATTAAAATATTTAACTAACAAAAAAATAAAAAAAAATTCTTCAAAAATATCAATATTTTCAAAGCAAGTATATGTTAAAATAAAATAAAATCAATATCAAGGGAGATAAATTATCAACAGAAAAGTTGTATAAAGAAAACATAACTTGAAATTTAGGCTAATATTTTGGAAAATCAACATAAAAAATTAACTAAAAATGAAAGTATAAGCTTTTGAGAGAAGTCCACATAAAATTTAGAATACCCAGTTATAGCATGTCTAAATAGCATTATAATTAAAATAATAATTAATCTAAAAATAAATTTAACAAAGAAAATATATTTATGTAAAAAAATTAAATTGATATATGCTACCTATTTGGAAAATCGATAACAAAAGAGATTAATTAAATATATATATTGTATTAAATATAACAAACATGCACAAAATTATAAATTAAAATAAAATATAAAATTATCACCAAAAGATATGTAAAATAACAAAAAAAAATCTAAGAAGAAAATTAGTATGAAATTTAGTTTTAGTAAATTCATGATTTCTAAAATATTGGTATTGACTATGAATAAATATATAAAATATATTATTTAAATTACAATGACTAATACCTTGGCTGCGTCTGGTTTAAAAATTAATAAAAAATACTACACAAGTAATTTTACATTCGAAATATAACAACTAATTTATACATAGTTACTACTTATAACTTAGCCAACATGAACACATGAAAAACACATGAGTAACATCTTTTAATTTTTTCTTTAAATAATAAAGTATGACAAAGTTATGAATCAAATTCAAATTGGAATATATCTAGATAAACTATTCAAATCAAAACATGAATAAACCATACAAAATATAAAAACAGTAATAATGTGAAGATTCCACATCATCTTACATGTTTTAAAACAAAATTTATCAAATAGTTGACTGCAAAAAACAGATCTTATAAGCTATATAGAGATATAACCTAAAATTCATAGAATATCTGGTAGAGAAGCAAGAAACAGCTTTACATGATTATTGTAGCATCTTAACAAAATCCGAATCAAAATGAATCATATATTATATATTCATAGGTATACAACATCAGCGAGATATTTAATCAAAAACTAAATATTTGAATATATAAACCTTTTAAAAAAAGAACTATAAAATTTTCAAGGACACAAAACAAAATACCAAAAAATTAGTAAAAAAATTATTCTCTAAATCAAACATATGCACGTCGAAGTTGGATAATTCGTAAGATGTTATTACTATAACTTAACTTAATAAGATTTATAGTTTTATAATAAAAATAGTTAAAACTACATATTATGTTTTAATTTTCTTTTATATAAATTTTTTTTATAAATATATTATAGTTTTGATAATTTAAAAGATATTAGCCAAAAAGAACTAAACCAAATTATTAATACAGACTTTCGCGTAGCGCGAGTTAAAAGCCTAGTTTGTATAAATGACTAACCCAATAACTTTGGATTTGAAGTAACAATTTTTTAAATACTAGATCCAATAAAAAAGAATTTGAAAAAAAAAAAACAAAATCATCCCAAATCATTAATTCAATACATCCTACTAAGAGCATCTGCATTGGTGAGTCTCTTACAAGAATTTCATTAATAAAAAAAATCATAAATTAATATATATTAATATTTTATTATAATAATCTTTTAAAATAGTTGAAAAACTCTCTCAAAATTTTTCTTCACTTTTTTTGAGAGACTCATATACTAAAATATTAATATTTTTTATTTTATTTTATTTTTATTGTTGAAAGACTCTCAATGTGATGGGTGTAAGTTCGTATAATACCAATTTTTCGAATAAAAAAAGGAAAAAGAAATCAATTTTATAATAGAGATACATTTGAGAACTCGATTTGAGGGGCAATCCAGCCATTGATTCCCCTCATCACTATTTGAATCCCTTTTCTATGTCCCCATTTCTCTTCAATGGCTCCTCCAACATATCTCCTCCTCATCAAACGCATCTCTCTCTTCCACATAAACCCTAAAAGCCGCCGTCTTTTTCAGCAATTCCTCCTAAAACCACTCTCCACTTCGTCACAGAGCAACCCTAACCTTTCCCCTGAACAATACCACAAACCTTCCTCTCTCTCTTCTCGTCTCAGCTTCGTATTCGATCAAATCGATGCTATTGAGAAACGTCACTCTGAGCAAGACGAAACCCTCGAGCGTATCCGTGCCTGGCGCCAATCCAAACAGCCAAATCAGGCAATAATACCTTCGTCTTCTTCTTCTTCTTCTTCTTCTCAGCAAGATCCAGATCCTGGAGAAATTGAATCAACCGGGTCTATTGAGGAACCGGCTGTGTCGACTGGCGAGTTGAGTAATGGGAACAGTGTGGTTGAGTTGGTGCATCCTTGGCCTGAGTGGATGGAGTTTATGGAGATATTGGTGAAGCAGAATTACTTTGATCATCGGAGACAAAGAGACGAAGAAGACGAGATGGTCCATAGTTTGGGGATGGATGTATCATCGTCCAATTTGGGATTAGGTGGTGAAGAGAAGAATGGTGGAGCTGCTTTGTTTCAGGATTTCAGAGCTGTTCAAAACGCTTGTATCAATTTCGGAAAGGACCGTTTCGATATTCTGAGGTTTGTTCAAGTTCTGAATTCGGAAAAAGTTTACACTTTTATTGAGTTTTGATCAAATTAGGATTGAGATTTTCGCCCCTGTGACTGTGATGTAGCTCTAGTTTTTGCAACTAAGATAAACTTTATACTGTGTGGTTGCGTTATCAAGTTCTTTGTGTTGCGTTTGAACAAATTAGTTGATTAAGATTGAAGTTACTAAGGAGAGTAAAATCGATATTCTAAGCTTTGTTCAAGCTTTTGAAATCGAAAAAGTTTACATTTTTATTTGAGTTTGATCAAATTTGGAGTGAGTTCTTAGCATCTGTGGCTGTGATGTACTTCTAATTTTTGTAACTAAGCTAAACTTTATACTGAGTTTCGATATGCTAAGGTTTGTTCAAGGTTCTGAAATCGGAAAAAGTTTACATTGTTATTGAATTTAATCAAATTAGGATTAGTTTTAGCCTCTGTGACTGTGATGTAGTTCTAGTTTTGTAACTAAGATGAACTTTCTACTGCGTGTGTGCGTTGTCAATGTATTTGCATTTGCGTTTGAACAACTTAGTTGATTAAGATTAAAGATACTGAAGAGGATTAAATCTTCTTATTTGTAAGTTGAAGTTGAAATCTTATCTCAACTTGTCATTGTTATTTCTTCAGGTCATTGTCGAGAAATGACATTCAAATCCTTGTCGGCCATGGATGTCCAGCGACCGATAGAAAAGTGGTTTTCTCCGGAAAACTACTGAGGAAGCGAGTCCATCTCGATGAAGGAGATGTAAGCATTACTTGAATAAGTTACTCATACAAGACTTGCTTTTGTATGAACTTGTGTGGTTAATTCTAAGTTCTGTTATTCTACAGTTGATTATTGCCACGTATTCTAGCATTCATTTTGATGCAACTGCCATATCTCTGGTTTTTGTTTACACTATGGTTATCATAGGCAATTGAATGTGAGCTGTTTGATAGATGCTTGATGCATATGTACGAGTAATGAAGAATAGTACAAATGTGGCAGGAAGAATAGATTAAGAGTTGTTGACTTATTGGTTGTGTGTTAGCTTAGGGCTTTGGGAGAATTTGAGATCTCGTCAAATATCTTATGTTTGGTCTAAATTTTAATCGCTGATTTCAATACTGTTCTTCAGAAATCAGATAGCACGTTTTCTTGTATTTTGGTTGGAGTATTGGGCTTGTGGCGATTTGCTTTTATGTTTCATAAAGTCTCCTTTGTTTACCTTACTGTATCTCCTCCGGAGATTTCCTTATTGGTTTACTATCAATAGGTTCTTAAGATGATAACATTCATTCATATATCAGGTCTGCAGTTCCTGCAGCTGAAGGAGATGTAAGCATTATTGAAATAAGTTATGCATAGGAGACTTGTGTGGTTCCATGATTCAACAATTAATTTTTGCCACTTATTCTATCAGTAGCTATCAGTGATTTTGATAGGCACTAGAAATGTGTGATGGTTGACACATATTGATGAATAATGAGGAATAGTACAAATAGGTGCAAGGAAGAATATATTAGGAATTCTTGGCTAGTTGGTTGTGTGGTAGCTTATGGCTTTGCGTGAGTTTGAGATCTCTTCAAGAAACCTGCAGGATAATTTGGTTTTCTTAGGTTTTGGTCATTGGTTTTTACATCTTAATCGTTGGTTTCAAGGATAATAGAAGAGTATTTCATTACCTTTTTTTTTTCAGAAATCAAGTTCCGATTTTAACACGTTTCCTTTATTTTGGGTGGAGTATTGGGTTGAGGCTACGTATTTGCTTTTAGGTTGTTTACCTTTCTGTTTTCTTCCTAGTATAATTTCTAGTTAATTTTCTAATTGGTTTACTATCAATAGGTTCCTCAGATGATAACATTCATTCATATATCAGGTCTGCAGTTCCTGCAGCTTAAGGAACTCATGCGAAAAGGCGTTTTTGTTGACAAACAAAGAGGACGAGGCTCGAACCCTTGACCTCATGCGCATCTTGTTCAACTATGGTTTCGACCCATTGAACGGAACAGTAGCTAACAAGAGTCTCCTGAAGAAAAAGTCTGTTAAGACTGTGGTGCGTAAACTGCTGCATGAGATTGTCAAGCTAAGCAGTGTACCAATAGATCCTAATCTTACTCCACCGGTAATCAAGAAAGCTCCCCCTAAAGTCAAGCAGCCACCACCAACTCCTAGAAGACGCGTTGGGCGTGATGATATTGAGATGAAGAAAGGAGATTGGCTTTGCCCAAAGTAAGTCACACTTTACTCTTCTTATGACCTTATGGTTCTCTTTTTGTTATATTATGGGTTTACTTAACGAAACCGTAAACTAGATGCATGGCCTTAACTCTGTAAGGTGCGTAAAGCTCTCATATCTTGGCCTTTAGTTCATCACTGTTCTACTTATTACCTTGAACCAAGAATGAATCTTGTAAGTCCATATAATAGTTTATTAGTTTTTTGTATTAGTTATTGTATTAGTTATTAGTTTATTGTATATCCTACGTATTAGCTTGGTGAGATCAATTATCTAGAGATCTTCTTCTGCATTAGTTATTAGTTTATGGTATATTCTATTAGCCTTCTCCACTTGTATTATATAGTTCTGGACTTTGAGGCTTAACAAATTATAATTTTTTAACCGAACATTGATTTTAGCACAAGCTAGGCCATCTTTTCGTTTATGGTCTCATTTTGTTTTTGTCCTGAGATGTTAATACAACTAAATTTTTCTTCTTAGGTGTGATTTCATGAATTTTGCAAAGAACACCATTTGCTTACAGTGTGATGCGAAGAGGCCAAAGAGACAGCTACTTCCAGGAGAATGGGAATGCCCTGAGTAAGTTGCTACGCTTTGAGAAAAAACGTACGGATTAAGATTTACTGTCATGGAACTTGATCATATTGCTTGTTGTTGTTATGGCAGATGCAACTTCTTGAACTATAGGAGAAACATGGCATGTTTTCATTGTGATTGCAAGCGTCCACCTGATGCTTTCTTAGAGAACAAAACGCTAGAAACACATCGCTTCACTGAATCACAAACAGAGAGGGTTGTGAAACGGGACGATGTTTCCAATGCTTGGAACTTTGATTTCGACGACGATGAATCAGACGGTGCAGAAGTTGCAGCCTTTGAATACGCAGATTCCACCAGAAAGAACGAATACCTTCCCCGGGATGATGGTTTGAGAGATCCTGAAGAAGAATTCGGCAATCTTCCTTCAGGAGCCCGAGAAAGTTCCGAGCATGGCAGGAGCAGAAGACCTGGTGCTGGATTCGATGATTTCGACGATGAAGATGACATTGATAGCTATGAAATAGATGAAACTGGAGATAGAGAAGTCTCAGTAGCAGGTGGCCGATCTTCTTTTGCATCTGAAGAGTTCTCAGAGGATGAACAGTTTCCCGATGTACACAGAGGAGGAAGCTCAAGGCTTCACAATGCTAGAATCAAGCATGACAACAGTAAAGGAGGTTTCTCTAGGGATGATGAGCTCGGTTTCAGTTCAGATGATGAGGCTTCCGTCACTCCCAGATGGAAATCGAGCCACGTTGCTTCGACAAAGAGAGGTCCGCCTTCGAGACAACTGAGTTTCGGGTCTGATGATGATTCTGATATGGAGAAAAATGGTCCCAGGTCTAGTTTAACGCGTGGCCAAAAAAACAACGGTGCTAGTGGAGGGTTCAAGGGTAAACGAAGCTCATATTCAGCTTCAGAATCTGATGAAGACATGGATGATCAAGGGTACAGAGGGTCAAGTTTCTCCGGTGATAGATCGAGAGGAAGCAGAGGACGAATGAGAGGTGATTTCGATGATTATAATGACAAGGGATCAAGTGACTTCTCGGCTAATAGATCAAGAGGGAGAGGAGGAAGAGCAAGAAGCAGAAGGAGTTGTTTTGGTAGTGAAGATGAAGATTACAGAGGCTCTAGTTCCTCGACTAGTAGATCAAGAGGGAATAAAGAAGATAACGGCGGGTTTGGGGGAAGAACGGGAAGCAGAAGAGGCGGTTTCGATGATGAGTTTGATAGAAAAAGCAGCGGAGGAAGAGGAGGAGGCAGTTCATGGAGTTTCAGGGGATCTAACCGAGGAGGAAGAGGAGGAAAGCGGAATGGGCATAGTGATGGTAAAGACGCAGACTTTGGAGATTTCAGAAACAGTAGAAGAGTTATTGAGAGATAGAGATATAATAAACTGATTTCCATTTGTTGAACAGAGGTTTTTGAGACGATGATGAATTGATGATCACTATTCAATTTTGTTATATAGTGGCATCAGTTATAAGAGTTTTAACTATGTTAAGTAGTTCAAAAGCGGAAGTTGGATTTGTCGATAATATTAGATTTAAGTGGTCCTTGAGTTTTGATGACCTCTTCCATTCTTTCATAATACTTAAAACCCTTTAGAGACACTACAAGAAATAAAGGGAGTTATTGTGAGAGGGATTTATGTAGATTTTGAAAATTTTAAGATTCTATGGTTATTGGTTTATTAATTTTTAAAATCTTACTAACCTCAAACAAAGTCTATTTTGAAAAGTTAACATTGGTTAATTGCAAAACTAACATCTAAGAAGTATATTTTTGCGAGTAGATTTTTTATGAAAAAAGTCAAAGTTTGGTCAATTGCAAAACTAACTTTTTTTACGTAGACTTTTCGAGTAGACTTCTTAGAGTGAGTAGACTTCTTTAGCAATTGTCAAAGTAACCTAAAATTTAGACTTCGTTGTTACTCTACTATTTCACTTTTTTATAAACGCGTTTTTATCAAATTTACAACAGATTTTTAAGATTTTCTTGGTCCTACGATTGTTGTAGTAAGTGTACTTACATCTCTATCAGTTATACATGTTTATATTATATATATTTGGTGACATCAAGTTTCTTGTTTTATTTGGTATTTAGCTTATTAGTCCGTAGGCTTCGTTTGCAGTCTGCGACATTAATTTTTTTTTATAAAATTAATTGATCAGATATTTGTAACAAATAGAATTTATACTTTGACTCTTAAGTGTGTGTTATTTATTGTTCTTACTTATCTATGAGTTTGACATGTTTGTTTGTTATAGTTTAGCTTTAATTAATTTTCTTGTTCTATTTTGTATTTAGCTTATTAGTTCGTAGACTACACTTTAAGTCTACATAGTAGACTTCGTTTACCGTCTGCGACATTAATTTTTTTATAAATTTAGTTGATCAGATATTTTTAATAACTAAAATTTATTATATGACTCTTAAGTGTGTGATATTTATTGTTCTTGCTTATATATGAGTTTGAATTTATTTATTTTTGTTACAATTTAGCTTTAGTTAATTATTTTCTTTTATTTGGTATTTAGCTTATTAGTCTGCAGGTTTTATTTGAAGTCTACTATGTAGACTTTGTTTGCAGTCTACTTTTCGATAATGATTTCTAATGTGGTTTGAATTTTGTTTTCTTACAGAGAATGGTTCACATACCCACTAAATATAGAGAATGGGTGAAAAGACTTGTTGTGGCATTTCTAAATAGTTTTACATGTTTTTTTTGTTATGAGTTTTATATGTTTTTTTGTATAGTTAAAATTGAATTAATTTTCTTGTGTTATTAGAGGTTCAAAGATGGTGATGACTAAGTAAGATGTGAAGGAAGAAGTTTCGTGATGACCTTATGTTATGTAATATAAGTATACTTGCGAAGTCTACTAGAAAAGTCTAATCAAAAAGCCTACATATAAAGTCTGAGAAAGAAGTAAGCATATGAAATCTGAATATGATAAACACACATAATTTAAGAATATGATATATAACATTCAATGCAATCCAACATTACATATAAAGTAGACCTTCTAAACAAACAAACATTTAAGGGTCACTTATTATAAATCTTAAAATTGGCATATAAAAACAAAATGTCTGAAATAGATGTATGTGACTGAAGCCTGCTCGAGAAGCCTGCTCGAGAAGTCTACTCGAGAAGTATGCGGCTGAAGTCTGTTACCGACAAAACCAAAAGAGAAATAAATAAGCTCAAAATGTTGAAATTCAGATTTCAACAAAATCTGCTATATTTACAAACATCATATCTGCAAAAAAAAAAAAAAAAAAAAAAATCAGCTATGAAAAAAAAAATACAGATCTGTAACAAAATAAACAAAATTCAGATCTGCCACAAAATAAACAAAATCAGATCTGCAAAAAAAAAAATCAGATCTGCAAAAAAAAAAATCAGATCGGCAACAAATTCTACAAAATTTATATAACAATAATAGCATATTTGCAAAAATAAACCCAGATCTACAACAATAATCTCAAATATGTAATAGTAAACCCATATTTACAATATGAACACAAAGCAAACAACAAAAGAAACACAAAACCTCAGATTTGCTTTCCATCACCATAATCGAGATAAAGAGGATGGAGGATGGATATGAGATTGATGGCAAGAGAAGAAGGAGAAGAGAATCATGGCCAAAGAAGAGGTAGAGGAGAGATATGCGTTTTTTAGAGGGAGAGAAAAACTTTATTTTTAACACAATTAGGTTAAATTCTCCTTATATATGTAGGAAAATTTTCGGTTAAGAAGTCTACTAGAGAAGTCTACTTCAATATGTTTTTTTATTTCGATTCCTGCCCAATTTGTTCTGATTCCCGTCCAATTTGTTAAATAATTTTGATTTTCCGCTGTGATTTATTTCAAGTCTACTGGAGAAATCTACCCGAGAAGTCTACTGCATAAGTCTGTTTACCCTAAACCCTAAATTAAATATTTTTTATTTAAACTTGTATCAAAACATTAATTTTCTTACCATTTTCACATTTTAAAGTTCAAATAACAATGATATGGACTCTAAATCATTAACCAAACCATAAACTATGATTCATATGGAATTTGGATTTACCCTAACAATACCCTAAACTTTACATCTCAAACCCTAACCCTTTTGAACTTCAAACTCTAAACATTTTCAACCTTACACTTATGAAACTTATAAATTGATTTATTTTCATAAAATTTTATTTAATATAGATGCCAATTGTCTATGTTTTTGTTATGTTTATAATTTTTGTATCATAATATTTTTTATAATTTTAATAAATAAAATTTAAGATTTAGTTATCTAGTAGACTTTTATAGTAGACTTCTAAGGGGTTGTTGCTGTTTTCTAATTAAATTTTCTTTCTACATTTAAATTGATTCATTTGTATAAAATTTTGTATTATATATATGTCAAATATATATGTCTTACTTATGTTTACCAGAAATTTATTTATTTTATATTACTAATTAAGTTTTTAAAGCTAATTATGTAGTCGAGTTCTTATGTAGACTTCTTTAACTGTCTACAAAAGTAAACTTCTTTAGAAGTCTAAAATAGTAGACTTCTTATGTAGACTTCCCAGGGATAAAATTGTAACTGTGGTGGATATTTTTTGTTTACTCATAAATGATTGAGCTGTAATTTTACTACCTCTTTAGTTTAGTTTTGCCAAATATTCAATAAAGGGTCTAGACTTCTTGAAAAATCCAATTATTGAGTTATTTTCAGCAATTCCCCTAGATAGAAATAAGTTTGATTTAAATGATTAACATTAATATTTGTCAAACAAGTTGTCAACAATAACTTGATAAGCTCTTTCAGTTGGGTGGTAGCTATTACAAAATATATAGGGCGACGAATTAGATCATGCGAATAGATTTAAAGTGTTACACATATACGTTATAGCAAAAGAGTCACTACCGCAATATCCTCTATCAGCTACATCAAAACCTTAAACAGGATGAAATAATTTACTTATAATTTGGTTCTAAGTTATACCATACAAATGAGAAATAAATATTTATATGATGAACTTACCGTACTTTTTAGGATGTTGGATCATGTCGAAAAGAGCATTATAAACATCAATGTAAAGTATAAAACCATCCAACTCTTTATCTAAAGATTCAAGTGGTGTTGAATTGTTTTGCCATATTGTTTAATTGCTTAACACATCCTCTTGTTAATATACTTCCAAACATTGTTTTTTGGAGCGGTACACATCCAATAGTTATTGCACAAAATACTCAATTTTGTGTATACCATGGTGCATGACGAGAGTTTACAAGAATTGATTCGGCTACCGATATTATCAAAAGTGCACATATCTTTTTGGTCATTTTTCTAAAAAGAACTTAAAAGTTAAGAGTATTTGAACTGAGACAATTTAATGATTGGTGAGCACGAAAAGTGATTTTTGATACATGTACTCTTAATAGATTTACCTAAAATAGCTAAATGTACTCTTAACAGATTAACCAAAGCTATAATGAGTAAATTACCATTACTATTTTTACTAAATAAGATTCTTTTAATAAACTAGGAGTTCTTACATGAATTGATAAAAGCAACTTCTTATGTTATTTATAATTCATGTCAAAAATAATTGCAAACAAAATAATCCAACTTGAACTAGATACATATAAATAAATTATTAAGTAATCCGGTTAATTTATATGTAACTTTTGGATATGGAATATTCAGATACATGTACGTTCTAATCAATGAGTTTTAAAATGAATAATTAAATGAATAAATTTTCTATGATACAATGAAAAATAAAAAAGTATTATAAATAAGTTAAATTTATATTATTAAAATCAAATGACTTTGCTTAAATATTTGTCAAGCAAGTTGTCAACAATAACTTGATAAGCTCTTTCAGTCGGATGATAGCTATCCCAAAATATATACGAAGAAGAATTAGAGCATGTGAATGGATTCAATGTGTTACACATATAAGATATAGCAAGAGAGCCACTACCGCAACATCCTCTATCAGCTACCTCAAAACCTGAAACATGATGTTATAATATATTTATAACTTAGTTCAACTTATATCTTACAATTGTAAAAAATATAGCCATATGATGAACGTACCATATTTTTTAGGATGTTGGATCATGTCAAAAAGAGTATCATAAACATCAATGTAAAGTATAATACCATCCAACTCTTTATCTAAAGATTCGAGTGCTGGAGAAAGCCTTGTGTTGAATTGTTTTGCCATATTGTTTAATGGTTTAACACATCCTCTTGTTAACATACCTCCAAGCACTGTTCTCTGGAGCGGTACACATCCAACAGGTACTGCACTAAATACTCCAATTTTACGAGCTCCAAGGTTATATAATTCCTAAGAAATATTAGAAACACATCTAGCGTTAGATATAATTATATGCTGTTTTATGTTATATTATATAAATAATTTTAAAATACTTACCCGTACGAATTTGACGGCTGAGTCAGCTAAGAAGTTGGCATATGATTTACGATCATATCTATGAGATTGAGCCATATAAGTGTGAGCAAGATCATTGCTACTAGAAACCACGAGAAAAAAGCTATGGTCCAAGATAGACTGGGCTCTTTCTTCTCCAAAATGTTTTTTGATCTTTGATATGTACTCTTTGAAATACTTAAGTTGATCCCACACTGATATCACTGACTACAAAAAATAAAATAAGATAAATGTATCATATATAATATGAAGTAAACGGTAATGGTGAATAATATATTGTAATATACCATAATTTTAGCCGTTAGTGGATCGTAACCGGTTCCTCCTGATGCAAATGTTACACCTTTAAGTAGATCTTTAGGCTTCAAATTTGCATTCATATATGCTGGCAATGTCTTTGCCAATCCCAACTTTTCCGCTGAAATAAAAAGATGGTTATAAAAATTGCATCACATTATAAAAATAGCTATCCTACTTTATATACAAAAATGTAAAAAATACTTCCAAATTGTTACCAATTAGATCAGAAGGAACTCTTCCATCAGAAAATCTTCCAGTAGCGAAGCCACTGGGAAAGTCTTTGCCGTAAGGTGGGAAATTGCATTTTAGAAGAGTTGGAAGATTATTGTTATTACCAGTATCCATTATTGAATCTCCAAAAACTATTAGTGCTGGGATTGTGACATTGTTTCCCAGCTTTGTTGCATTAGTTTCAATGGCTATTAATATTAAAGCGAGCCATATCATTTGAAGCTTCATCGTCTTATTTGATTTATTTACTTGTTTGCTCAAGATGTTGTTGTGTTTTACAAATTTCAAAACATATGTGTATATATATTGTTTAAATTTGTTGAACTTCTAAAAATATATCTTTTGAACAATATTTGTTACGTTGGATATTATCTCTTATTAGTTTTGACTTTCCTTATGGTTTCAAAGACAACAAATTTTAATTGTTATTCTTTAACGTAATAAATTGGTTTTCACAACTTGAAATATACAATACTATGTTTGGGACAGACACCATATTCATCAATACAACCACAGATATAGTAAAACACAAAATGTATTTAGTCAAACCTTAACATGCCATCTCACATATGACTAAAGACATATATCCATACGTACAGTATATGATGAACTCCAAACCATGCACATGCTTTACCTTTATTCGTAGTTAGACCAAATTATAACCTTCATTTGTATACTCACTAAAAAAAAATATTCAATTTGCTATGGAGATTTTCTAGAAAAAGCTTTAGCATAATACAAATTTGCAATGGTTTGGCGACAAGGTGAAGGGGCATAGCTAGTTCGTCGGAATTTCATAGTAAATTTGCGATGAATAATTTCAGTCGTAAACTTTTTTAAAAAATAAACTATTTTATTGTAGGGACAATATATACTTTATATATGTTTGTATACCCTTTTTCTATATAGTAAGATGGTTTGTGCTTAAAACATTTTAGGCATGTCATAAATTGTTTTCTTAAGAAAATGTTCTAGAGGAACGAATAGGATTAGATACCCGAGTATTCCTAACCATAAACAATAGATACTAGGTGCTGTCTTGATTTATTTCTCACAAAGTTCTAAATTCTGTCATTTTTATTTCTTTAAAGTTCTAAACTGTGTTATTAGACTACTTACAATGGGTATGTTGAATAATTTATTCAAGAGTTGAATGTATACAATGAGGTGTTGAAACATGTGCTGAAATCTATGTAGAGAAATCAGTGTTGAATTCGGTTGAAAAGTAAAAGTAACTACCATGTGTCTTAATTTGATTGAACCGAAAATAATTAGATATTTATATAGAGATAACAATATGAGCTGAATTCTGATTGGTTGTTTAGATTTCTGGTTTTCTTTTTTCATCTCAGTGATTCAATATCAATTATTCCATAACGAATTAAATATATAAATATTTTTTTATATAACAAAATTCATCATTTTTCATGTTCTATAAATAGATACTTGGTTCATTTGATTTGAACACACAAAAAATCATTTTTTCTAAGCTTTACAAATTCTTTTATAAACACTTATTTTTAGTTTTAAACTTTTTTTCTCAGAATGGATCCCAATAATAATCCTTCTAATACCCAAAATTCTATCAATTATCCATTTAATTATACCCAAATCTCCACAATGATCAAATTCAAAATCAAAATAATTTCGTAATTTGTTTACTTTAATCATAATCAATAATTGTTATAAAGATGTAATTATTAGAAGATAAAAGAAAATGATAATATAAAATAAATTACTAGGGTATGATGTTGAATGATTAGGTAGAAAAGAGAGAAGATGATGTGGAGTATTAAAAATTGATGTGGGGGTGTTGAATCTTTGTACCATTGTACATAGTCTTACATCGTAATTTTTTAATCCCATCATAATGTCCCTAATTCTAAATCGATAATAATTGTTTGGTTCCCAAATCATTTATAATCATTTATGGGGATTTAGGTAGAGTTAAATTGCCCATGGTACTTTTTTTTGGTCAAGTAGTTTCTTTCTCATTTAAACAAGCTGAAACGGGTCCATACAAAGAGGAGAGACATTTAAAAACAGAGCAATAGCTAAAACAACTGCAACACATAACGAAGAAAGATAGTTAACAAAACATAGATGGACAAGAAGAGAATAACAAGGCTTTGCAAGCCTGCTATCTTGTTCAATTCTGTTCCCAACAAGAGGGGCATAATTAGGACATTCATGTCCGGAAACGTTTGTAGCAAGGTGAAATCTGTGGAGAATGCATCCGTGAGCGCCAATTGAAGGGCAAGGGTTCTTGAAGCAGCAGTTGTGGAGATGGTTATAAGTCTTCACTTGACTTGGACCGAAGCAATGTGAGAACCTAAAAGCAGTCAGTAAAAAATACATTGGAAGAGGACATTGAATTCATCTTCTGAATGAACAAAAACTATTGCTTAACTCCTTTTCTGCAAATTAACTTTTCTCACCTAATGGACAAAAAGAAATATCAAACCGCTCCCTAAAGGATTAAAATTCCCTAGAGAATTCCAAGCCAAACTAAGACCAACGATAAACAGAATTGTTGTAAAATACCACCACCTTTGAAAGCTCCTCAAAGGAGAAATGGCTCAGATGTTCACAGATTCCACCAAATGAACTAGAAAATCCTAAATACATCTTAGTTCTAAAGTACACACGACTCATAGTGATTAGAGGAGAGGAAATCAAGATGTGAACATCATACCTGATCGAGAAAAACTCAGATTGGAAAACAAAACAGATCTGAAAACAAATCTGATACGATGCACACATCATTAATGGCTCACAAATACTCGAAAGATCTGCACACAACAGCAAAGAGTCGCAAGAAGGCAAGCGGAGAAGAAGCCAGAAAAGACCCAGAGGCAGAGGTTGCTGGAAAATCTAGATCTGAATAAGGTGGGAATAGAACGAAGATGGCAGAGGGAGCGTGGGAGGAGGAAACGCTGAGGATAGAAGGAAAGACAGGTGGATTTGGTGGTTCGGGAGGATCTGGCATCGACAATAGGCCAAAATCCATGGCGACAGAAAGAAATGTAGCCACCAGAAGAGTCGGAGAGTCCAGTGGATCCGGTGGATTATGGCGGTTGCGGAGGTTCTGGCGGCTTAGGAAAAGTAAGCTAAGGCGAGGAAGTGACCACCGGAGGCTGAGCGGTGTCGGAGCTCCGATCTGCAGAAGGCAGCGTACCGGCTGAAGAAAACAGAAAGACTCATCGTCGATTAGCCATCATAATGGAGGAAAGAAAATGGATTATGACGCCGGCATGGACAAGTTGTAGGCAAGGACGAAGAGGCACGGGTGTGATCTGGCGGAGGGAAACCATGGTCGGAGCAGAGCGGAAGCGGCACCTAGATAAATGTGCATGGGAGAGAGTTTACTAATTTTGCACATGGGACTCAATTTGTAAACATATGGAAATTGTGAGGGACCTTTGACTAATATAAATGAAACTTGGATCAACTCACTAATTGTCAATTGATTTTGAATACAAATTCAACTAAACTTAACATGGTATCACAGGCCAATCCACACACATGTAATCTAGAAAAAAAACTAGCCCATGCCCCTATTTTGAGGATTGGTGGTCAATCAAAATTATTGGCTAGAAGAGTTGTTATCTCAAAGGGGTATTGACATTAGGTAGAGATTAATGTACCATAGGTTTTCATCTTTAAAGAGTGAGTGTAAGATATGTCTCACATAGGAAGTTAGGAGTTTTGAAGCATAGAAAATCTAATTTTTTGTCTGATGCACAAATAAATAAGCAATCAGTTGACAGTATGAAAAACATTTAAAACATATTTTAGAAGACTCTCTCAATCTGACTAGCCAACTCTCACAGACAATAATGAAATTAAACATACATTACAATTAATTTTGATATATTTACAAGTACCTAATAATTTAACTCTTTCATGTTAAGTGATCAAACTCCTCTCAACTAGTGCAAGCAATAAAAAAATTTAAACACTGTTGTGGGTTTATAAATCTATAATCAGTTATTATAGGGCCAAAAAGTTATTCACAATATGAACAAGAAAAGAAATAATCTTTTTAAGCCAAAAAAAAAATCTACAAATATATTATCAAGGTAGCGTTCCATTTGCAAACCCCTTAAACACACATACATGAATAATAAATGTAACACCTCAATTTCATGTATGCCATGGTGCATGACGAAAGCTTAAAAAAATTGATTTGGCTACCTATATCATCAAAAGAGCACATATCTTTTTGGTCACTTTTCCAAAGAGAACTTAAAAGTTAAGAGTGTTTGAATTGAGGCAATTTAATGATCGGTAACCTCGAAAAGTGATTTTTAATACCATATAATTAAGGACAAAACATGAAAAAAATTGTGATAGTTTGTAGTATCAGCATATCAAGTCTGTTGAGCCTCTCGAAGTAGGAAACGACCATCATACAAGGGTGAGATCCTCATGCCGAGTGTAGGCATAGAGGCCCACTGGCGGTAGCGGAGTAAGGGTTACTAGTGGTATTAGAGTTCAACTCGAAAGACTGTTAAGTCATGTGGGATCACATCATTGGGATGACGCTCTTGATAGGCATTAAAGATTGTGTTATGTGAGTAGTATGCATAAGAAGAAATTTTCTATGATACAATGAAAATTTAAAATGCATTACATAGTGACAAGAATAAAATGCAGAAACACGATGACACTAAGGTATAAATAAGTTAGATTTAGATTATTAACATCTAATAACTTTGCTTAAATATTTGTCGAGCAAGTTGTCAACAATAACTTGATAAGCTCTTTCAGTCGGATGATAGCTAGCCCATAATAGATAGGCCAAAGAATTAGAGCATCTTAATGGATTGAATATGTTACACATATAAGATATAGCAAGAGAGCCACTACCGCAATATCCTCTATCAGCTACCTAAAACCTGAAACACGATGATATAATATATTTATAACTTGGTTCAAGTTATATCTTACAATTGTGAAAACTATAGCCATATGATGAACTTACTGTATTTTTTAGGATGTTGGATCACGTCGAAAAGAGTACCATAAACATTAATGTAAAGTATAAAACCATCCAACTCTTTATCTAAAGATTCAAGTGCTGGAGAAACCCTTGCGTTGAATTGTTTTGCCATATTGTTGAATGGTTTAACACATCCTCTTGTTAACATACCTCCAAACACTGTTCTCTGGAGAGGTACACATCCTACAGGTACTGCACAAAATATGCCAATTTTACGAGTTCTAAGTTTATATAACTCCTAAGTAATATTAGAAAAACATCTAGCGTTAGACATAAATATATGCTATTTTATGTTATATTATATAAATAAATTTAAAATACTTACCCGTACGAATTTGATGGCTAAGTCAGCTAAGAAGTTGGCATATGATGTGCAATCATATCTATGAGATTGAGCCATATAAGCATGAGCAAGATCATTGCTACTAGAAACCACGAGAAAAACCTATGGTCCAAGATAATTTGGGCTCTTCCTTCTCCAAAATGTTGTCTGATCTTTGATATATATTCTTTGAAATACTTAGGTTAATTTCACACTAATATCACTGACAACAAAATGATAAAATAAAATAAATGTATCACATATAATATGAAGCTAACAGTAATGGTGAGTAATATATTGTATTATACCATAATTTTAGCCGTTAGTGGATGATAACTGGTTCTTCCTGATGCAAATGTTACACCTTTAAGAAGATCTTCAGGCTTCAAATTTTCTTTCATATATGCTGGCAATGTCTTTGCCAATCCCAAATTTTCTGCTGAAATAAAAAGTTGGTTAAAACAAATGCATCACAGTATTAAAATAGCAACCATACTTTAAATACAAAAAATATAAAAAATACATTCAAATGATTACCAATTAGATCAGAGGGAACTCTTCCATCAGAAAATCTTCTAGTAGCAAAGCCATTGGGGAAGTCCTTGCCGTAAGGTGGGAAGTTGCATTTTAAAAGAGTGGGCAGATTATTGTTATTACCAGTATCCATTATTGAATCTCTAAAAACTATCAGTATTGGGATTGTTACATTGTTTCCCAGCCTTTGGTGCATTAGTTTCAATGATTATTAATACTAAAAGGAGCCATAAAATTTGAAGCTTCATTGTGTTATTTGATTTATTTACTTGTTTGCTCAAGATGTGGTTGTGTTTTACAAATTTCAAGATATACATGTATATATATATTGTTTAAATTTGTTGAACTTCTAAAAATATCTTTTTTGAAAAATATTTGTTACGTCGGATATTATCTCTAACTAGTTTTGACTTTCCTTATGGTTTCAAAGACAACAAACTTTAATTATTATTCCTTACCAGTAACATGGTAGTAAATCGGTTTTCACAACCTGAAATATACAATATTACTATGTGATCGGCCCGCACCGTGTGCGGGATATAAAACATGTTATATGTTAAAAAAAAATTATATATCAAAAATTGCTTTATTTATATGATTAAGTATGTATTAATAATATCATTGAACATTTAATAGTAAAAGTTAATAATATCTGAAATGGAAAATCTAGTGGCTCATAATAGAAAATTCTAAATAATAAAAATATTAATGAAGAATATAAAATGGTTCCTTACAAAAAAAAAGTAAATATAATAAGTAAATAAACTGAAACTATTAAAACATATAAATAGAGTTTAAAGATACGATAAGGATAAAATTAAGAAAGATTTTGAAACACTTCCTTATAGACGGCGTTCATAGTTTTCTTTTTCACTTTTCCTTCTTTGTCTGTTATGAGAACTTTGAGTCCTGATCTAGACTTAACTCTAGATAATGCAACATATAGCTGTCTATGAGAGAAAACTGGTCTAGGTAGAAACAAACCGACATTCTCAAGTGATTGCCGTTGGCTTTTGTTGATAGTCATTGTGAAAGCTAAAGCCAAAGGGAACTGTCTACGTCGCATTCTGAAAGGAGACCTTGTATCTGGTGGTGTCACATACATCCTAGGGAATTAGAACTACTTGACCAATCATTTTCTCATTTCCCATTATAATTCTACCTTGAACCACATGTCTAGCCATTTGAGTAATAATAAGTCTAGTTCCATTGCATATTCCACCTTTAGGATCTATGTTACGAAGACACATGACAGGAGCACCAACCTTTAATTTCAAGCAATGCTTCGGTAATCCAGAAACTTTGATGGTATTCAAAAACTCTGTTGAGTAATCCACCTTATGCAATGTATCTTTATCTGAAGGAATAATGCTGTCAGAGCTACGGTATACTTTTTCATTACCTGAGATATTAAAATAATAAGAAGATCAGTTGTGAATATACCCTTATTCAATGTATCTTTATCTGAAGGAATAATGCTGTCAGAGCTAAGGTATACTTTCTCATCACCTAAAAATTTTAAATAGTAAGAAGATCAGTTGTGGACATACCAAGAAATCCATAAAAACAATTTGAAAAAGATATAAACTTTTAGAATTCTAACATGTTTATTATGACTACACTAATATTATATAAACATTATTATTTTAATTAGAAGTTCAGAAAATAGTTTCATATTTTTTGAACCAAACAAGTTTCATAACAAACAAAATGATATTACAGCTTAACTAAACTTAACGTTTAAAACAATTTATACTTTGTACATTATGGATTTAGTATATTATATGGTAGTTATATTTATGAAAGTAAATCAAAGAAAGATATTTAAATGATAAAATATTCGATATTTATTCTAATAAACCTATTATAAAATGGATATTCTATTAATTTTGTAATTATAAATGCAACTTTGTTAATTAAAAAAACCATGTGAATCTAAATAACAAAAATTTTAAAATAGAAATGAAGGTGAAAATAGTTTAAAAATATTACCTGGCAATTTCGAAAGCATGTAGTCATTAATCTGATCGACATCATCATTTGTAGGGCTAAGGATCGCCCTAGACTTGTAAAAATTCAGATCAGAAGACTTTGTTGAAGAATATCCATAAACCTCGCGAACAATAGTAGCAAATCTTTGGGAATACCAATTTCAACCAAGCCGTCGTTTGGAAGGTTAATCTTTCCATCACCAATATCCAAAATCCATTCAGAGAAAGCTTTAAGATCTGCAGCATTGTGATCACTAAGCCCAGCAAGTAATCTCATATTCTTTGTAAGCTTCAAAACCTTGGTATGCTTCCAAAGGTATGATGCATTTAGAGATGCCAAAACGGTTTCCGCTCTGCTACCTCTAGTGATAACAGGCAGAATCTGTCTAAAATTACCACCAAACACAACTACTTTGCCTCCAAATGGCTTATCCTCTTTTGATCTGATAATATCTCGTAAGCTACGATCAAAATTCTCAAAGCAATGCCTACTCATCATAGGAGCTTCATCCCACACTATAAGACTTGACTTCTTCATTAGTTCAGCAATATCTGATCCTGGACTCATGTTGATGTGAATTCGTCTGGTGTAATTGGAATGCCAAACCTCGAGTGGGCTATCCTACCACCTGGTAACAAAAGCGCAGCAATTCCACTTGATGCAGTATTAACAACAATTAGACCTTTTGAACGAATAGCGGCGGAAAGTGTACTCCATAGAAAGGTTTTACATGTACCTCCAAAACCATAGACAAAAAACACTCCACCTTTATCATTGAATACTGCATCTACAATCTCTTCATAAATTGCTCTTTGCTCATCGGTAATCATCCCCATGAGTCTTTCATGTTCTTTACATTCATCTGCTGGGATATAATTCCGATCATCATCAATTAGACGGTTGCCAGTGTAATTATAGAAATCATCTGGCAATGGCATCTGTTTCCATTTTGATAAAGTACGCACATTGCTCAGCAATATATCCTGAATTTCTGACAGAGCTATGTTTTGATTTGATCAACTGACAAATTAAGACCTGTGATGTTCAAAAAAACAAAAAAAAGACATATAATTATTTAGCCTGCACAAGTGTTATATATAAGTGTTTTAAAAAGTAATTAAAAACTTTAGACGTACCTATGTTTCCAGTTTCTTTCCTCTTATTGAAAAGTATGTCTTCGGTTAGATATTCCCAAGTTTCTTCCCAAACAACATGAGGCAGAGACAGATTGTCTGCAATTAACATTATAGAAAAGAACATGCGAATATATTTACCACCACACCAATTGCTGGCTTCTTTAATACATTCAATGTATTCTTTGTCGTCATCCAACAAACCCCTTGCTTCACAAGCCTCCAGGTAAGTAGGATATACAAAATCATCGACAGTTCTTATGTCCTCATAAGATGTTGGTCATTTTACGTAGTTAAGCAAAACTCTCAAATAATACACTTCACCTAATGCATGATGAATATGTGCAATTCTCCCAATAGAAAATCCTCTTTGCCTAGGCTTCCATACTCTGTCTTTGAGATGCCAAACAAACTTTGTAGGAAAGTCAGCATATAGCAGATCTTTTGCATCCGGATATATCTTATTAGCTTCCATCCAAGCTAAAAACATAGACTCCTTAACCATAATACGGTTCATCACAGTTTCTAGTGCTTCTGATTCATCATAATAGACCATCAGAATAAACTCAACTCATTTACCAAGTGCGAGACATCAAGAATTATTAAAAAGGAGAACTTATTAAGTAATAAAGAATTGAAATAGAATATGGAATAAAATCCTTAAATATTCAAAAGAGAAGAGAAAGTAAAACATGCAAAAACGTAATAAAAAACAAACTATTTTTCTTTTTTCATCTTCTTGGTGACAGAATTCTGATCTTTAACTGGATTATCTTGATTGTTTATATAGCTTCTCTTCGACAAAGGTGTTAATGATAAACCCTCTTAAATTTCCTCAGAATTTGTAAGCATGAGTGGTTCCTACATTATAATGATATGAAAAAATACCTTGGTCAGCATAGTTTCTTTTGTTAGTAAAATAATTATCATCTAAATCCAAGTAATTAAGACATGTACCTCTGTGAAAGATTGAGTCTCGAAAAGCTTAATTTCATCCTCATCATCCCAAAATAATTCAACAGTATACGGAGAATTATTAACCTTTTTAGCTCTCTCTTCCAAGGTGATTTTGAATAGAAATTTCTTTCCAACAATGGTTTTAAGTTCAGAGGGTAGAAATTATGGATCTTCCTACAAAACATTAAATTGTATTATGAGTAAAATATGAAGATATTGCTAAAAAAAAATAAATAAATATTATTTTGATCGTTTTCTACACTTATATTTGAAAAATATACCTCAGAATATTTTTCAAAAATATCAGTAGCAGAAATTTGAATCAATTTTGCTGCAAGTTTATCAAATAACAGAAATCTGGTTTCTGAAAAAAAATCGTCTGATACACGTAAAATCAGATAATATCTGAAAAAAATAAGAACTTTAACTTCAAGTTGAATGGTTTATCCAAATACATAATTTAAAATAAATTTCATACTTGGAAAAGACATCTTCAATATCACCACATGTCTTGCAATTGAAAATGGGCTTCCTATCCACATCATCAGAATCTTCACCATATTGTTGAACCTTCAAACCACAGGTTTTGCAAGCTAAGTAATACCATTGTTTTGGATTATCAATAGCTTCAACCTTGGCAGAAGTCAGACTTTACTAGCCTGTTTATAATGTTACATTTATTAGACTAAAAATGATAACATATAATGGGTAATCCAAATCTTGATTGGTATTTTAAGAAAAATGAACATACCTCATTAAATTGAAGAATTTTAAAAATAGATTTCTATTTGTTCTTCGAAAAAAACTCTGCATGCATATCAATTGAAGAACCAAATGATAATTGGTTGCTATCAATATGTGTGATCATTTAATTTAATGTTGGCAACCTGTGAACCAAAATAATATAATTGAATAATATAATATATATTTCTGGTAGCATTTATACTCATGTTTTAAAAATTATATACCTTGATTTGAAATTCTCAAAATATGTGGTTGTTGGATCGAAGAGTAGTTGTGTTGCTTTTAAAAGAATTTTGCACAAATACGTTTCCTACATAGTAAGAAATTTCAGATAAATAGTTAGCACTTTATAAAAGTATTTTTTAATTTTTTAAAACTAATAAAAAATGAAAATGTGAATATTAAATTAATATAAACAGAAATATACATTTGTATGTCTTGATGTTCACAAACCTAAGAACACATACTATTGGCGATCCATTGTGTTGTTCAGTATAATCATACGCTTTGTTTGCATAATCCTCCCCCCCCCCCCCCCCCCCCCACAAAGTACATGTCAAACGCAAATCACTTGAAGTAGATTTGTTAATGATTTTCAAATTGATAAGCATTTCAGTGGAACATAAATCATTCAAAATAATAAAATTTATACTTACTTGGCATCTCTAAGGATGAGTTCCAATTTTGTATTTGACACTTTCTTTCCTCTCATTTGAACATTTTCTTTTGAACCCACGTTCAATATTTGTCCAATGACATCTAAATTGAAAAATATATGTAAAGATTAATCATAATAAAGAGAAGATATAAAAGAATTAGTGTTTTAAATTACCAATCAAAATGTTTTTGTTGTGCTTTCCATCCAAAATTTCAGAGAAATCAGCAAAATATTGTTCTGGCAATTCTGGCGGAAACCCTACAGCTGGTTTGGGTTTACTAAGAAATATCAACTTCATTGGCAATGTAGAGGTTCTGTACTCTCTAAAGTATTCTTTTAGCATAAAAGCATTGATGCTAAAAACATTTCGATGATTGTATATCAAATCTTCTTCCACAGTTGCATGAATCCTACTTCCCTGAAAAGATTGTAAATGATTATAATTTCAGACATCAAACTTTTGAGAATGAAAATTAAAACTTAATAACGGAAAATATAAATAAAACATACCTCTTCATCAACGAAAACCATTTCAATCGATTTACCAACACCAGTTATAAAAGAATTCCATAGAACTTGGATATGTGCTTTATTTTTTGGAGTTCAGATGCTGGATCAAGATTGTTTAACATGAGGAAAGAGGATTGTTTACTTTTAACGATAGACATTTTGGTTTAGTATTTCAAAATGAAAGAGTTCGGAATTTTTTAGTCATGGACGATATATACATATATAGTGATTGAACATGTTATTAATGAGGTGATATATTGCTTTCCCAAAAATGAGAGTAAGGTATATAGTCATTTAACATTTAGAGTTATCGTGTCACAAAATGCTTTAAAAATGACGAGATATGATTGAAAATGTTATAAATGAGGAGATATATTAGATTATTACATTTATTTTGGTTACCACCCTTTTTACATCACGATTTATGTCTATTTCCAATCTTCATATATTTGTGCGGTATATTAGGGAAGTCGTATGCATTGTTCTTAATTACCGTGATCATTAATTAATTACCCCTATTATTGTGTTTTTAGAATATTTCGTTTTCTATATTTATAAAAATACAGTCAATAACATTATACATAAATCATATATATAATTAGAGAAGTTTCTCTCCATCTAGAGTGTCCACATCAGCATTTTAATTTTTTGGGCTTTTAAGTATTTTGGATTCTTACATAATATTAACTAATATGAGTTTATTTTATGCAGGTTTTTGGACTTTTTAATATATTAACTTAAAAACAAAATACCAATTTTACAAATCACCAAAAACTGTATGTTTTTTCATAAAAAAAAGTATGCTAATTCTAATAAGAAACAAACAGGATGTGAAAACAGAGGTTAAAATCGAACAATGAAAGAGTTTGCACATAATAGATGTTGAAGTTTTTCATAAAAAATGTTGCAGAGAAATGTATGCAAAAAAATAAAATAAAATCATTCATACTCTACGTTGTAAAATGAATGAAGGTTTTTCATTAAAAAAAAGACTAAAGTTTTGCCGTGAAAAAAGACTAAAGTTTAAAATCATGTAGCATAAAAATAAATTTGATCAATAGAGTAGGTAAAGACAGAAAAAAAAAAGCTATAAAAAGGAAAAAAAAAAGATTTAGGACTGGTGATTGAGAATGATTTATAAAAAGATCTCTCCAATGAAGCTATACAGCTCAACAAGTAGTTCTTTTCTTTATAGACTTCTACATATTGTGATTTTTTTTATCAGTTTCTGTATATTTTAGGTTTGTATTTTTTAGGCCTTTATACAAAATAAATTTAAAAGTGAAAAAAATAAATACTATTTTACAAAATATAAAAAATAAAAAAATATATGAAATAAAAAGTGAAAATATTATTTAGAATAAAAGACAAAAGAACGTAAGGCGAACAAAAAGTTGGAAGGCGAACAAATACAAATCATGACAGAAGAACTTGCGAATGATAGTTATCAAACTTGAAAAGATATATATATATATATATTAAGTATAAATACTTATTTTATAAATCATAAAAATACAATTTTTTTACAAAATAAAAAAAATCAAAATGTTATTTCAAATATAACACAAATTAGGCTCTGTGGAAAAAAAGTTGGAATGCAAACAAATACGAAAGATGACAGAAGAACTTGCGGAGTTATCAAACTTAAAAAGAAAAACAGAAAAGATATGTATAAAAGTAAAGTAAAATCATTCATATCTATTTTATTGTGAAAATAAATAAAGATTTTATATGAATAAAAAAGACGAAAGTGTTTAATCATATAGCTTGAAATAAACTTGATCTATACGAAGAAAAAAATAATAATAAAAGCATGACTTTGCGCTTCAGAATGAGTTCAAATTTTCTAAAATTTATGAAAAATGAAGAAGTTATTCAATTTAAAGCATTAAGATTGTTGATTACACCGGAAATAAGCAGTATAAAAAAAAGTAGAAACCAATCTAATAGAAATATATGTACTGGAAAACTTAAATACTTATGACAACGTATAAATATAGATGAAGTTTTTAAACAATTACCACATGTTAATAACTTCATAATTATCTATATATTTTAGAATAAAAATAATAAAAATAATTTATAAAACAATATAAATAAATTAAAAACAAACATAATAATAATATGAAGATATAAAATTATAAAGTACGAAAATTGCACGGGTCAAACCTAGTAGTTATTATTTAGTGATAGGTAATTACAGCACAATATTTCGTTTATGCAAGATTAATTTTATTTCCATGTTTTCAAATACCTAGCATTTGTACGTGCTCACCAATCATTTATATTGTATCATGAGCTTATTCGTTTTCTATATGAAGAACAATTCAGTCAATAAATCATTTACATTGTATCATGAGCTTATTCGTTTTCTATATGAAGAATAAATCAGTCAATAAAACTTAAATTATTAAAATTGGTTATGAGATTGATTGAAGGTCCTTCGCAAATATAGGGAAGCTGCTGCATACATCCGTTAGACCATCATCCGTTAGACTCCTTTGTTTCTCATGGAAAGCTTCTGCACATTCTTATTCAGAGATGGTGCTTCAGCTTTTGTCTTCTCGCCTGTAAACACAAAAATGCAAAAGGAAGGGAAAGCTACATGAATACCGTGAACAGGACACAACTTAATAAGCTACAATGAATCAATTAACCTCATGATTAAAACAATACGGCAAAGGTTGACAAACAGAAAACCAAACTCATAAGCTTGAATGCGAAACTCATAAACAAATACTGAAGCAGTACTAAGAAGCAGAACAATGTAAACGGCCGAAGAGTAAACAGAATTAATTTCATGAAACTTGTTTTAATCCCAAAACAGTGAAGCTGTGTAGTTAACGCTTCAGTCTTTAACTAATCAATGTAATCATATCATCATCTTATCAAGTTATGGAACCACTTAAGAACACTAAACGGGAAAGAGATCATAACACAGACACTAAACGCTGGGGCAAAGAGATCGATTAAACTTTGCAAAGTGATTTAAGATCATAAGACAGTTTCTGATTACCTTTGAGACTGAAGCGTTTAGTGTCTTGGTTGTTTACAGCAATTGTATCACGAAGGTCACATTTACCAACGACAGTGCAAGTTCCCCAGATTACAGTGAGAAGCATAATGGTGGAGCCAGCGAGCAAACCAATTGTATCACGAAGGTCACGCTCGCTTTCGCTTCGATGAAAGCACCACGGTGAAGGAGTAGCTTTGCAGCTTCATTACGACCGTTCTTGGCTGCCATGTGCAATGAAGTTTCACCATACTGAAAGACATAAATAGAGATGGTTAAGACTTGAAAAATCTTCAGATTCACATAACCAAAAATGTCTGTAAGATTTCACTTACCTCAGGATTTTCTTTACTGCTTATGTAATTACGCAAATCCAACTCCAAAGGGAACGGTGCAGGCTTGAATATCTTCTCCATAAAGAGTTTGATCAAAAGAGCCTGAGATTGAATGCAACAACAACAGCACATTTAGCTAATCTAAGCACCGAGTTTGATCAAAAGTAGAAGCTTTCGTAACCACTGTCTTACTCTGTGACTGAGGAAGCCTTGTTTGACCAGTAGAAGGAGGCCTAGAGCGCTGAATCTGTTTCAAATCGTAACAAAACACGTTCGAGAGCTTTCTCTTGGCTTCGTTGATGACGTAGGTCGCGAGATTACGCTGACGATAGTTCTTAGTAACAATCTGAGTCAAATCTTCACGTTTAATTGAGCATCCTGAGTTTTGATGCGACTTGAAGAGTACGATTCTAATCACCTCCGAAACAAGCTTATCCGTTTCCTAATTTCAGATTCAAGGACCTTGAAAAAATCAATCTCATAATCCGAAATATATAAATCGAAATCAAAATTCCCGTAAACTGAAACTGTACCTCCTTCGATACATGAAAATGAGAGAGAGTATCTGCTTCATCAGGCATTCTGAAATTGGGTTTTTACAAAATTAAGAGTGGATTAAAAATCGAAATCTAAAAATCTCCAATTGAACTTCAAATGAATAAACTTTTGTTACCTTACTCACAAAACAACACCTATATCAATATTATCTGCAGCCGGGATTTAACAGGAAAAGAAAAAGTGTTGAGAAATAGAGGGGAAATCATACGACGATATATTGTTTGTCAGTCCAGATCTGTCCCCATGGTAGAAAACCTTGTTGTGGCTATGATGAACGTCGTCGCCGATAGTATAAAGTAATCTCCGATGAACAATTGTTTTGGGAATGAACAATTTCGATGAATAGGTGGTTCTCGCGGCGATGAACAGTATGTTCATCATATGGCTATAGTTTTCACAATTCAGTAAGTTCATCATATGGCTATAGTTTTTACAAGAAATCAGAGAGGATATAAATAGAGAAACAGTTAGAAAGATTCAAAATTCTCACCTGGTTTGCCACGGTTGAGTATGTTACTTTTAGCAGGCTCAACTCCATAGATCTACCATTTGCAAGACATTAATGATCAAAAGCAATCTCTTTTTGTAGACATTCACAAGATATCTTCAGAAACCTAAATCAAACCACCTTGATATTAGGGTTTTTAGATTTAAGGTATTGGCCAACACCAGAGATTGTGCCTCCATTGCCAATTCCCATCACGAAGATATCGACATTCTCAAGCGTATCTTCCCAAATCTTAGGACCAGTAGTATCATAATGAATCTGCATCAATATTCCAGGCATGAGTGTAAGATACAAAATGCAAAGAAAAGGGGATCTATTTAACTATTTAAGTACCTGAGTGTTTGCTGGATTAGCAAACTGTTGCAGCATATGAGCATAAGGAGTATTCTCAAGGAGGTCATAAGCTTTCTTAACGGTTCCACCCATTTCTTTGGCTGGATCAGTGAGGACAAGCTCTGCACCAAAGGATCTCATTATCACTCTCCTCTCCAAGCTGGTGAAAAAAGGTATTGTCATTATAATTATGTATCCTTTCAAAGCCGCCATGAATGCCAAACTTATCAACCTACAAACAGACAAAAATATAACAGATTCTGCAGTATTAAGAAGAACGGCCGAAGAGTAAAGAGAATTAATTTCATGACATTTTTTGAAATCCCAAAACAGTGAAGCTGTGTAGTTAAAGTTCCTCTTTAACTAATCAATGTAATCATATGCAACCACTTAAGAAGTGAAGAACACTAAACGGGAAGGTACACATACCCATTAACAATTTATTTTATAGTTGGAGAAGTAAATGGAAGAGAACAACATCATTAGATAAACAGAGCACACAGAAGAAAACCATTATCTGCAACACGGTATCCCAACTTTAGCAAATACTTCAGGAGACATCACAGTTGTCTTCTCGCCAAGAGTAGAAAATGTCACTGATAAGACAACAACATAAGAACCATTGTATTTAGACTGATATCGTTTTGTATTTCGAATGATATGCTCTTGGAAAAGTGACGACAAACTCTATATAGAATCATTGATAAGACAATGTCGTTTTGATAAAATAACAACATAAGAAGCTTTACAGAACCTAATCACAGGACACAAAAGTGTTTAAGACGTTTTAAGCTGGAGAAAGTGTGCAAATCTATGCAAAGGAAAGAGTACCTTGAACCTAAAGCGAGTGCAAAGTCATAGAGCAACTAGAGATGAGAAACCATTGTTGGGTAGTTTATAGCAGCTCGCCGGATAGCAGCATCTTTGGCCATTCGCAACCACTTTCGGAGTTGCAATGTTGCATGCTTCTCTCCAAACGTTTTCCTAAAACCTACGAAGATTAGTTTCAACATGTAAAGCATTGAGTGATTAACTTGAAGAGAGTTAAGATTGATCACTCACCGTGACTAAACCGCCATATTAATACAGTGGAAAGACCTTACCCTTGCCCACCAAGTTTTTTTATTTGTCAAATATTCGATATTTTTACGAGTTTATTTGTCAGTAAATATGGTTAACAAAACTTTGCTGAAACCAGCTGTTTTAATTGTTTGCACAAGAAAAAAAAGAATTGATATTTTTCTCGTGCCGTAAACAATAAGACACTATCATTACCGCTGGACAATTAGACACCCAACCCGTAATCGCAACGACCCAATTGCAAGAGCGGAGCTCTACCAAGTGAGCTATATCTCCTCGAGCCAAGTGGACATGCATGAAGGAGTCAGATTCTTCGTATATTCTTTTCCTTGGCGCAGCTGGGCCATCCTGGATTTGAACCAGAGACCTTGCCTGTGAAGTAAATCATCGCATATGTGGTCCAATCAATTAGGAGAGAATCAATAGATTCATTTTCAGGAGCGATTCATCCTTCCTGAACGCAGCATACAACTCTCCGTTGTACTGCGGTCTCCAAGTGTGCTTATTCCCCCTCTCTTCCTTACCATAGGAAGTATTTGTGAATTAACTTCGATGAGAAGAAAAAAGAGGGCGTTAAGAGACCCTACTGACCTAACCCTAGACACTCTCCTTTTTCAAACCTGCTCCCATTTTGAGGCGGAAAGGAAAAAGAATTTCACGTTCTTCCTTTAGGGAAGATTAGAAAAATCCTATTGATTGCAGCTTTCTCCAGACCCTCGAGAAAAGCATGAAAAAAGGCTCGAATGGTACGATCCCTCCATCACCCCATAATTAAAGGGGGTGATCTCGTAGTTCTTGGTCTTGGTCTGTGAAGATACGTTGTTAGGTGCTCCATTCTATTTTCCTATTGAGGCCGAACCTAAACTTGCGCTCGAGAGATAGCTGTCCATCACTGATAAGGGATGTATGGATTCTCGAGAAGAGAGGAGCCGTGGTGGTCTCCTCCGGACCGTCTGGATCCCACGAGTGAATAGAAAGTTGGATCTACATTGGATCTCACCTGAATCGCCCCATCTATCCTCCTGAGGAGAAATTTGGTTTCAAACCCCGGTTCGAACAAGAGGAGTACGCCATGCTAATGTGCCTTGGATGATCCACATCTCAGGGTCAGACGCTGATGAACACATTTAACTAATCTTCGTAGGTTTTAGGAAAACGTTTGGAGAGAAGCATGTAACATTGCAACTCCGAAAGTGGTTGCGAATGGCCAAAGATGCTACTATCCGGCGAGCTGCTATAAACTACCCTACAATGGTTTCTCATCTCCAGTTGCTCTATGACTTTGCACTCGCTTTAGGTTCAAGGTACTCTTTATTTTGCATAGATTTGCACACTTTCTCCAGCTTAAAACGGCTTAAACACTTTTGTGTCCTGTGATTAGGTTCTGTAAAGCTTCTTATGTTGTTATCTTATCAAAACGACATTGTCTTATCAATGATTCTATATAGAGTTTGTCGTCACTTTTCTAAGAGCATATCATTCGAAATACAAAACAATATCAGTCTAAATACAATGGTTCTTATCAGTGACATTTTCTACTCTTGGCAAGAAGACAACTGTGATGTCTCCTGAAGTATTTGCTAAAGCTGGGATACCGTGTTGCAGATTATGGTTTTCTTCTGTGTGCTATGTTTACTTCTCCAACTATAAAATAAACTGTTAATGGGTATGTGTACCTTCCCGTTTAGTGTTCTTCACTTCTTAAGTGGTTGCATAACTTGATAAGATGATGATGATTACATTGATTAGTTAAAGAGGACCTTTAACTACACAGCTTCACTGTTTTGGGATTTCAAAAAATGTCATGAAATTAATTCTCTTTACTCTTCGGCCATTTACACTGTTCTGCTTCTTAATACTGCAGAATCTGTTATCTTTTTGTCTGTTTGTAGGTTGATAAGTTTGGCATTCATGGCGGCTTTGAAAGTGTACATAATTATAATGACAATGCCTTCTTATACCAGCTTGGAAAGGAGAGTGACGATGAGATCCTTTGGTGCAGAGCTTGTCCTCACTGATCCAGCCAAAGGAATGGGTGGAACCATTAAGAAAGCTTATGACCTCCTTGAGAATACTCCTTATGCTCATATGCTGCAACAGTTTGTTAATCCAACAAATACTCAGGTACTTAAATAGTTAAATAGATCCTCTTTTCTTTGCATTTTGTATCTCACACTCATGCGTGGAATATTGATGCAGATTCATTATGATACTACTGGTCCTAAGATTTGGGAAGATACGCTTGGGAATGTCGATATCTTCGTGATGGGAATTGACAGTGGAGGCATAATCTCTGGTGTTGGCCAATACCTTATATCAAGGTGATTTGATTTAGGTTTCTGAAGATATCTTGTGAATGTCGACAAAAAGGGATTGCTTTTGATCATTAATGTCTTGCAAACGGTAGATATATGGAGTTGAGCCTGCTGAAAATAACATACTCAACGATGGCAAACCAGGTGAGAATTTTGAATCTTTCTAACTGTTTCTCTGTTTATATCATCTCTGATTCTTTGTGAAAACTATAGCCATATAATGAACTTACTGTATTTTTTACAATTGTGAAAACTATAGCCATATGATGAACTTATTGTATTTTTTAGGATGTTAGATCACGTCGAAAAGAGTATCATTAACATTAATGTAAAGTATAACACCATCCAGCTCTTTATCTAAAGATTCAAGTGCTGGAGAAACCCTTGCGTTGAATTGTTTTGCCATATTGTTGAATGGTTTAACACATCCTCTTGTTAACATACCTCTAAACACTGTTCTCTGGAGCGGTACATATCCTACAGGTACTGCACAAAATACTCCAATTTTACGAGTTCCAAGTTTATATAACTCCTTAATAATATTAGAAAAACATCTAGCGTTAGACATAAATATATGCTGTTTTATGTTATATTATATCTAAACTATTAAAATAAGATCATTTTTTAAAATTAACGTTTAATTACTATGTTATTTACAGTATATGCCATTAAATTTCTATAGATTCATTAAAGATAATTTTGACAATGTGATAATATCATAATACAAAGCAGTCGTGAGGAGCATTGAAAGAAGATGCACCTAAACACATACAATAATTTGATTAATGAAATGGTCGTAACTGGTTTATAACCAAACCGATTCCAGCTTGAACACATTACATGCTTCATCCTACAAGAAATAAAGATAAAGCTGAGTTCTGTTTGGATTCTATGTTTGAATTAAGTTTGAATCACCTTCACTCACCTTATCTTACACATCCAAAATTAAAACAAACCAATCTTAATTATTGTAACCAAACCGATTCCAGCTTGAACATATTACATACTTCATCGTACCAAAATAAAGATAAAGCTGAGTTCTGTTTGGATTCTATGCTTGAATTAAGTTTGAATCATCCTTTACTCACCTAATCTTACACATCCAAAATTCAAACAAACCAATCTTAATTATTTATGGTTTAGTTTAGTCCATTAGACCAGGTATATTAACTGATATAACAAAATCAAAATTATGATACGAAGTTTATGAATTTTGCATATACTAATTAATATAACTAGTTCATTAAAAAAAAAACTAGATGTTGGACCTGCACGCCCATGCATGTATATGATTATTGAAGTAAATTTATAAATGTTTAAATTTTGTAGTATAAGGAGATTTATATATTATGTTATAAGATAGTCTGTTTTCTGGTGCATATGTATCATAGCTTTATTTCGAGAGAATAAATAGTCCGTTTGTATAAAACATTTTTGGATCATAGCAAAAATAGGTTTATAGTAAACTTTTGTTCAAAAAAAATTAGCTTATATAATTAAATCTAAAATTGTGGTCCAAATAGAATTTTTTTTATTAAATTATATAAACTATTTTAACATTATGGTTTTATGTTCTTAAAATTATTCAGGCTTGATATAAAAAAATATATTTTTATTAGCGGATTTTTTGTTAAGTTTTGTAACAAATATTTTAAAATATTATGTTTTATAATGTAAGGGAGATTTTATTTGTTTGTAATTAAGATTCTTAGATTTATTTGCTTTTGTCTCTAGATACTTATTTGGATGCAAATGCTCTCAAATATTGTTCTTTTAAATATTTTTAAATCAGTATATGGATATTTCATCTGAATACAAATTCTATAATATTTCAAAATTTGAATATTTA